CGGAAATACAAGATAGACGTGACCAGCAGCTAATTGCGGCGAAGCAGCCGCCTGGGGGCCATGGTTCTCCTGCAACATGGCACAAAATCACCAATCCCGAGTAGGGCTTGGGGACCCGCCCCATAACAAGGAAGCAGGCGAGCAGCCAAGGCTTCCTGAGACGTATTTAGGGGTGTGGTGAGAGGGTGGCTGGGGTCGCGCGTGCGGGGCTGGGGCTGCGGAGTCACGGAATGGTTTGGGTGGGAAGGGACCTTTAAGGGTTCTCTAGTCCAACCCCCCCTGCCGTGGGTGGAAACATCCTTCACTAGATCAGGTTGCTCAAAGCCCTGTCCAACTTGACCTTGAAGGTACGTTTCTAGAGACCTCCAATCTAAACTTACCTTCTGTCAGTTTTAAACCATTGCCCCTTGTCCTGTCACTACAGGCCTTGGTAAAAAGTCTTTCTCCAGCTTTCTTCTAAGCGCCCTTTATATATTGAAAGGCTGCAGTAAGGTCTCCCTGGAGCTTTCTCTTTTTCTGGGCCAAACAACCCCAACTCTCTCAGCCTTTCTTCATGGGAGAGGTGCTCCAGCCTTCTGACCATTTGCATGGTTTCCTCTGAACCCGCTTTAACAGGTCCATGTCTGTCCTGTACTGAGTGTCCCAGAACTGCACGTAGTACTCCAGGTGGGGGTCTCACGAGAGTGGAGTAGAGGGGGAGAATGGCCACGCTGCTTGTGATGCAGCCCAGGATGCGGTTGGCTTTCTGGGATGCAAGCATACATTGCCAGGTCCTGTCCAATTTTTTGTTTACCAGTATATCCAAGTCGTTTTCCTCAGGCCTCCTCTCAATCCATTCACCTCCTAGTCTGTACTGATAGTGGGGATTGACCCAGTCCAGGTGTAGGGCCTTGCACTGGGCTTTTTTGAACTTCATGAAGTCTTCATGAAAATGTCGTGTCTGAACAGCGCAATCTCCCTCACCACCTGGCTGTCTTCGTCATAAGTTAGCATATACATTCAAATGCACTTATATTCTTGCTTCTGATCTGAGCATGTAGTCCTGTCACACGGTATTGCCATAGGCTCTGTACTGAGTTTGCGAGGCATCAGGACTAAGGCTTGCCAGGCCTGCTCTGAATTTTTCATGACCTGCCCGCATGTCAGGTTCCCTCACCTGCCATTGTTCCTCTGCACCCCTTTGTGTGTGTGTGAAGATGAGCTTTTTCCCACATAGCCTAACATTTATGATGGGCTACTTCTGTAACACTTTCTGGTCCTGTACACTGAAGTTATCCAACATTTGTGTTTGAGAAAACAGACTCTTAAATTCAGTTAGAGGACCAGATCTTTACTTCACCTCAAATCCCGCATCTTGTAGCCTTTTCCTCTTATCTTCGTGTGTAATTATATCAAGGTTAAAAACAGAGTAGTGTACCAAACCAGTATAGCTCCTGTTGCCAGTGTCTGATTAACCTTCTCACCCTTTCTGATTTGGCTCCTGAAATAGCAATGATTTCCTAGATTATCTTGCACCTCCTTTCCATTCTAAGAAGACTGTTTGTATCATTGAAACTTTCAGGTTTGTAAATCAGCCTTTAAGCAGATTAACATTTATAATTGGCTTGTGGAAAGTTAGATCCCTCAGTTAACTGACACTAATGTCAAATGTGGACAGGAGCAGACGGGCAGTGCTGTGAGAGCAACACAAGGAAGAGGATCATTCCTGTAGCATCATTCTTCTGACTACGCATAATTATGGGAAACAATAGCAGCTCCACAGTAGATGATCTGCAGGCTGTCGAGATCCACCACTGGTACAAAAAGTTCATGATGGAGTGTCCTTCTGGACAGCTGACGGAGCATGAATTTAAACAGTTTTTTGGGCTTCGAGGGCTGGATCCAGAGGCCAATGAGTACATTGAGCAGATGTTCCGCACATTTGATATGAACAAGGTGAGTTCTCCAGCAAGGAAATTAACTGCCTCGTACTGCTTAAAAGTGAACTCCTGCACTTCTAGAGTCCTTGGTTTTCTCTTACAAACATTGGTGTGGAAAACTGTGGAGGGATGCTAACATACAGTAGCTAAATGCGAGGAGCAAATTAATGTGCATAGATAATGACATAGATAACATAACCATAGGTAACAACGCCTTATTATCTACCTACCTTGTGCAAGTTCATCTTTGAATTTTGAGAATTCCTGATTGTGTTTTAATTGACTTGGCCTTATTTGACTAGCAAAATACTAATGAAAGGAGATTTAATTATTATTCTTATTCCTATGTGTTCTTATTATTCAAAAATATCTCTGTATTAGCTAGTAGAGACTAGAGGAATTGAACACAATAGAAATCATTATAACATTCACAGAGGAAGTAATTTCCAGGTATTTGGCAGCTGAAATGAATACTGCATGGGCAGACAGTCTATATGGCTCTGCTCAGTGCTAGGAGGTAGAGCATTGTACCAGTAGATAGGAGGTTGGTAGTAGTCCTCACTGTGACAGGCAACAACTGGCTGTCTCTAAGGTGAGAAACAGTAGCCCCCATAATTCCTTTAAGCATGCCATGACCCTCACTTTTGCCTGTTTTTTATCCATATATACTTAAGCCTATGCTTGCAGGCCTGTAATCTCAATGACAGAGAAATTTGGCAAAATTCAGCTTCGTTCTCTGATCGAAGGTTCTGAAATGGCTGGAGCGAATGTCTGTGAGTCAAGGAGGAACCAGTCACTGAGACATGTGAAACAGGTGGGAAATCACAGGGTCAGTTTTGAAGAAGGAAAGCCTAGGGACTGAGCAAGGAACATTGGTTTGGACAACATGTGAGAAGGCATAAGGAGTTAAGGAATGCTAAGGAATATTACAAAATTCTTACAGGTAAGGGAGGAGCATCCAGTCTCCATTAGGGTAGATGAGGTCTTCTGGTGGATGTAATGACTGGAAATGACTGCAAATCTCAAAGAATATCCTTTCTCATCCTAAAGTTCTCTGTGCCCAGGATCATGATAGTAACGAGAAGCAGTATTATAAACTAAACCAACACATTTACAATTCTTGCACAAGTCTTTCCCTTTACCTCTGTCATTTCTTAGGATGTTTAAGGACTTTAAAAATTTGTTCAAGGATGTTAATGCATTCCAAAGTTCTCATGTGAGCCCCATATTATGCAGTAAACAATGTTTTAAGAAGACTCAAATTGAAATTTGGTCATACAAAGATAAAAAGCTATCTTCTAAATAAAGTGATAGTGATCTCAAGGGGAATGAAGTAAGAGTGTGGCAACTGCTGGAGATGGACCTACATCAGTTAATCTTAGCCTGTTAATAGTTAGCCACTTAATCTAAGCACCTTTTATAAACAAGGGCAAGGAACAAGAGCACCCAGAGGAAGAGCCACCCTGAGTAATACAGACATTGATGATGGATGGAATCATCTGTCCTCTGGACCTTCGGATTCTGAGAACTCTGCTGAGGACAAAGAGGATAAATTTTCAATAGAGTTATTTTATAAATTGCAGTCATGCCCTCCTTCCCACCTTTAGAGCTGGTTGTCTTTGTTTTCTGTGACTTTGGTCAATGGAGTTATGAAAAACTCACATAAGGGGAGTACGACACTGATCCTGAATGAATATTTTAAACTGTTGTGATCCTTGCTGTAAAACAGTAGTGCTCTGCTAGTCCATCTACATTTGCCTTTTACATATATTTATTTACGTCCATTCCAGAAAGGCATCTGAGTTTGTTTAAATACCTCAATAAATGAAAGTTTCATTTTTTTGCTCTGTAATTTCTTGAAGTAGTTATTCAGAATCTTTGACAGAGAGATGCACTTTATTTGTTGTTTCTTTTTAACCACTTCAAATTTTAGTCAGTGTTAAATCTAGGGATTATGAACCTTTACTGTCTGGCATTTTTCTTGCAGAGGAAACGAGCTTTTCGAGTTTCTTTGTAGATTCAAGAAATGGAATGTTTAAAAACCTAAACACAGAACAATTTTTCCAGCTGTCAAATCATGTTATATGTATTTTTAAAAATACCTTCAGTCACTTTTTTTTCAGAGAATGGAGAAGAGATCTATGGCTTACTGAAATAGCAGTAGTTTCCCACAAAGACAAAGCAGACTAGTACAGAAAAGCTAAGGCAGAATTACCTCCCACTTTTCTTGCAGCCAGGGCTCTGGGTCAATTCTCTCTCCCAGCAGGCCATAGGCAGTCAGCTCGGGTGGACAGAGAGGGGTTCATTCACACTGGCCTTGAGGAGCGACAGGTTCTGTGCCTGCAGGTGGCGAGCACAGAGTAGCCTAGACATGTAATAGATCATAACTTTAGGAATCCAGGTATTTAGGAGGTCTTAAATGTGGACAGAGAAATTGGGACG